GTCCAGAGGTCACCTAATTATTCATCGATGACAGATATCATAGTAGATTTTGTATATGGGGAGGGAGCTACCGTAGAGTAATGTATAAGTGTGACTGTAGATCTAACTTGAAAAATTGACCACTATGTATGTATACATAATGTTCTGTACTCAACGACGTTTTCTAAATATTTAGACTAATACATTTTAAGATATTTATACCACCAACTTATTCACACTATTCTAAGGTATGTTGGTATTAAATTAAAATGTAGCGTAGACGGCTTGTTTTCAAAAATTAGTTCAACCTACTAAATTAAGAAAATACAAAATTCGCTCAGAATTACCTTTTAGTATACAACGATTAAAACATATAAATTCATAAATTGAATACATGCATATTACCTACATAGATATTATGTGTAATACAAACTATACAACAAATGCGCAAGTTCTCCAGTTTTTCTATACATTTATCCAGTACGGCGTAATGCATAGGCAAAAGTGGTACATTATATATATACATATTTTACAACAGTAGTTGTGGTATGACAATATAACTTCATAACATAAATATTTTTATTTAACAAGGCAGCGGAATTTTGCGAATATTTAAAAACTATTTTTTTTCAAATGACCTTATAAAAATGCAGATGGTATCAAAACTAACCGGAGGGTTTTCAATAGATAATAAGTAATCCTTAACTAACTGAAAGTATGCATAAAATATGCATCAGTAACTACGTATATAGCACGTACATTACCCCAGCACCCCCCCATACGATTTTCATACTTTTTTTTGTCCTAATATTTAGTAATGTCAAAAACTCTTAATTATTAATAAGCAAATGGCGAATTAAAAAAAAACGGAAATATATTTTTACATCTAATCTGATCGTCTAAAACACCAATTTTACACGCAACCAACGAGTAAAAGGTTCAAACAAAATAAGATAATTTAGTACAGTTAATTGTATTAAAGTCGTTAGTTAATTTACTCGTCATTGGATGATTAATTTATGTAGGATAAAGATTCAACATTTATAATTCGACCGTCAAAAAACTAAGCAAAACAGACACTAAAAAGGTATTATTATATTTCAAATAGTAAGTTGTATCTATTAAATATAATTAAATTATAAATATTTTTTATTGTTTATGTTTAAAAAAATGTTCGGTCAAAACAAAGTAACTCGTGTTTTTTTTAAACTTAGTCGAATTGTACACTGTTTATTCGTAATATTAATTAAAAACATATCGTCCTGCGTAGGTATATATATAGTGTATACTCAACGAATAACGATGTGTAAGATACACGGCTCTATTTATCATACTCAAGCACTGTACATATATACATTATGTTTATTGTTACTGTTACTCTTAATCAGTGGTGGCCAAACTTTTTTTAACTCGGGCCATAAAAAAAAATTTTTTTTACCGTGGGCCATATAAATTTTTTTTTCTTTTAAGTCATCAGAATTTTAGGTATAGCCATATAATTATATATTTAATGAAGTTTTTATTGTACTTAGTAATTTTAATGACTTTATTTAATACTTAACTTAATAATTACTACAAATGAAAGAAAATTAAATCGGCTTACATTTCAAAAAATGTAGTTTAAAACCATTTAAAATTGGTCGCGCAACGATCACAGTAATATTACTATATGTTGTATTACTATATATTGCTATACTACTAATATAATTGTAGTATTGTAGTTTCTACAGCCATGGTGATCGCGTATGAAAATAAGATAAGATACGGTAATGCTATTTATATTATTAAATTACATTGTAACAACCAAAACGCTACGATTTGGCGATACGGAATTAAATATGAAGAACATATACTGTATTTTTAATATTTTTTTACGTAAATGTAAAATATTATACTTCTTTCGCGGGCCAGATATTAAATGATGGCGGGCCGTAGTTTGGCCACCACTGCTCTAAATTATCAATGTTATACCAAGTTTGTCGTTTTTACTACCTGTATAGTGGATTAATATAATCATTTTCTTCAAAATCCTATCCTAACCTAACCGCACTAAAATCCGACGAATAAAAAAAAAACAAAATTTAACCCTTTGTAAATTAACCTATCTTCTTCCCAGAGGTCTACTCTACCCACAAATATTAATTTATATTTATATATATAACTATATTAATTCACAGACCACAACTATACAGACTAAACTCTGGAACTACGCTATATGTACGACGTACGTGCATATTGACAAAAGATAATAATACAAATCAAAAAACATGTCTGAATAAAAAATAGCAACCAATATATTATACACTGGTGGATTTCCCTAAAATTTTCTTTCATATAAACCTTCTCCGTAGAATACTATCTCATTTAAAAAAAAAAATCAAGAAGATCTGGATAAGTAGTTCCAGAGTTTAGCCTCTACAGAGATTTTCATTTCACATTTTAGATTCTGAGCAAAGCAGCTATTGGTTTTACAATTTTTATTTTTTTTTTATATTTATCCTGTATACAAAATTTCCACCAGAAGGAGTGCTTCAATTTCAACACATGGTACGCCTTATCTTTTAGCAAATTGCATCAAGATGGTACAATCGATTTTATCAATAGCACAGAAATAGCAGTAATAGCTGCACAATAGCAGTATTTTATTTTTTTTTTCCGTAAATGTCAATAAAATTAAATTCGTTGTGTCAAAAAGCTTGAAAAAAAATTTGTGTTGATAGTTTTTGTCATTCCTTTTTAAATATTTTCAAGTGCTTATTTTAGTGCTTATAATGAAGTATTTAAGTGCTTATTTTGAAGATTATAAGTGCTATACCGAATCCTGGGTATAACAAACTACTGCAGTTAGGTACCTAATTATTTCATGATATGCCTAATAATAATTTTAGTTTAAAACAATATTCATAATAAACTAATACATATATAAAACAAAATAATAATTATAATTATAATAATCCAATATTTTGGTTACATTAAAAAAAAATATTTGATTTAGTTCTCAAATAATTTTCGAATTAAGTATAAAGAATCATGTATATTAACATTTAATGAATATGAATGTCTGGTCGAAAAACAAGAGAGCGGCAAAAATATAGGCTATTATTAGTTCCAGATTGAACTCGCATCTTGAAAAAAAAACACCAATGCAACTAATACTGCATCTTTACTAACATGGTCTAATGTATTCATTTAAAAAAAGCTGCAGCTGTCCCGGATCGGTGTGAAACACCAAATAAAAACCGTTGATGATAATCATAGACCTATAAAGAAATGGACTGATAACAGAGAGAGAGATCCAGGGGCCAACATTGTTAGAAAAAGATAGCATACAACTTGGGTACCATTTACACCAATTAATAAAAGAGAGAGGGAGAATAGTTCAACAACAAAGATAACAACATTTTTAGAAAAAGATAGCATACACCTTAGGTAGTCGGGTCACATTACATTACACATGTATTGACTATCTCTTTCTAACAATCTTATTTCAATAAACTTAAGGCAGGGTGTGGGGGAGTAACAGTCCATATCTTATTATGTCTATTGATTTATTCAATAAATTGGCTTTTCCTGATTACGCCACTAGTCTATTTAATACTAGAGATCAAAATTTCCGAAAAAAAACCCGTTCAAAATATATAATTCAAGATTCAAATATGAACAGTTATGAAGTGTGTGAAGCTATATATTAACTTCTATAATACATTATTTAAACTTTGATCATAGTTAACTTTAAATGTACACATTTTGAGTTGTCAGTGTAGTGAAAATATTATAGATATTATTTCTTTTTTTTTCGGAGAATAAATGCTTCGACAACTGAAGTCATTAGCCTGTTATTGTGTTGCAATGAAGTGTTGGTTTGAACACGTGATAGGTAGTTTAATATTTCTTTATTATATTATTCAATAGAGATACAAATCGAACCCGCACACGCCGGCTACTAGTCAATCCATCAACGGACTTTGGTCATTAAAACAAGTCAAGTAGAGTGATAAGCTCACTACCTATATAATCATATAATAATAATACACCACATACAAACACCCCTATATTACATATATATTTTGCAATAACCTGAGTGTATTTCATAGGTAACTATAATATAATATTATAAGAATATTAATTGGCAAATAATACCCTACATATATATTTTTCAAAAATAACACCAAACGTGTATTAATTTATACTAATTTTAACATTAAACAACATCAACCAGATAACCTAGAAGAATTCAATTTCAGCGTTTGGTGCTTACTGTTGAAAATATTTAATAATAAAATATTAAAAAATGGAGTTCGATGCGGCCTGTAGAATATTTCCCACTATTAGTTAAAAAAAAAATTATCAAATTTGATCGATTCTACAGAACAGGATCATTATTCCCGTTGCAGAGTGTATTTTAGTGTACAAAATTACATTCTCACCGGGCGCCATAATATATTATATATAGGTATGTGAATATAATATTATATATAAAAACTATATACTTAAATGTTTATCCAATGCGTGCAGATATATTTATTATTGATATAAGAATATTAATACAAAAATGATTAGATATAGGTATAATAACATAATATTCAATATACTTATACTTGATGTTTTAATGGCAATGTAATAAAAAATAAATAACCAAATTGAATATTCATATGATATAAAACATAATATACTACATGAGTACACCTAAAGTTGAAATTATAAGTAGTACTTAACTCAACAAATAATTAATTCAATTCCGAACACTTCCCTCGGGTACGATACGAAATAAATTAATAAACGTCTTTGGAAACAAAAACCATCGATGATTTTCATACGATCATCTGTCACTTATAAATTATAATGGTTAGCTGGCCATTATGATGTACGAGAATGTTAGGTATTATTCTATTCGGTCTCTATGTATTTATGTTAGTGTATTATTGTACAAACGTTTGATGAACTGAGTTATATTTTTTGTCTTTCACACAACATATTATTTTTGTTCTTAAATTTAACTAGATTACCGGTGTATAATAATCATGCGTGAAATTTGTCATTTACAAGCTGGCCAATGCGGAAATCAAATTGGTGCAAAGGTAATATAAACGAATACATTCTCGATGGGTTATTGTGTTAATTATTATATAATAAATTAAATTAGTAATAGCCGTAATACCATATAGGTACTTACAGTTAAAAGGTTTTATCATTGGGAAACAACATTTAAAAAAAAAAACTATTTATAAATATAGGTAGCTACTATACCTATGCTCACGTACAACGTACATAATATGTTATTACATATTACAAATGTATTATAAATTGTTTAGTTTTGGGAAGTCATTTCCGACGAACACGGCATTGATCCAACCGGATCATATCATGGAGATTCTGATCTGCAATTAGAACGAATCAATGTCTATTATACTGAAGCGCTTGGTAAATTTTATTTTATTAACCAAATGTCCGTAGTTAGGTATTAGTTAATACTTAATAGTTATACTGTATTATTCTGTAATGTTATTACTTATTATAAATACTATTTTGATGTAATGTAATAATAATAAAATAAATGTTACAATTACTTTTGTCGAAATGTTAGGTGGTAAGTATGTACCTCGAGCAATTCTTGTGGATTTGGAACCTGGTACCATGGACTCAGTGAGATCTGGTCCTTTTGGTCAAATTTTCCGACCGGATAACTTTGTTTTTGGACAATCTGGAGCGGGCAATAATTGGGCCAAAGGACATTATACAGAAGGTGCAGAGCTAGTGGATTCAGTTTTAGACGTAGTCAGGTACATTAAAATGAAGAATTTTACCGAACTATATCCGATCACCGTGTTAAACCATTCTATACAAAATTTGTATTTCAGGAAAGAAGCAGAAAGTTGCGATTGCTTGCAAGGGTTCCAACTGACCCATTCGTTAGGCGGAGGAACTGGTTCCGGGATGGGCACACTTTTGATATCCAAAATTCGTGAGGAATATCCGGACCGTATTATGACCACATACAGTATTGTTCCTTCACCCAAGGTAAAAAATCATTTTTCATTAAAACTAAATTCTTAAAACAAAAATAGTTCTTATTGTATTTTATTTTTACGAAAAATATTTAAAGTAGGTACCTATAATATATTTATATAAATTTTAGTTTGAAATGCTTAAATATTTATTTATATACTATATGCAGGCATAGGCGTAAACTGGGGGGGCACAATATACTCCCCTTGGTATTTTTTAAATTAACTAGAAAAATATTATCGATAAGTCTTTTTAGATTTGTAAGAATTGTTTTATAAAGTAAAGTATAATATTTTAAACGATTAACTATATAGAAAAAAAATGAAATAATTAATCAAAACTGTTCATTACCATTTGCCATCACAATACATCATGATAACTCTTCTTGTAATTCGCGAGTAAAAACAAAACCAAGGTGAAACTTTGATTTCGAGGGATGAAGATATTTTAGAAATTCGTAAAATGTATAGGTACAATAATACAATAATATATACAGTAGACGCCGCTTATAAGACTCACTTTGGGACCAGCACAAAGTGAGTCTTATAATCGAATAAATCTTATAGGCGAAGTGGAAAAAAAAATAATTACGTATTTATAAATTTTATTTTATTACATATTTTGCTTTGATTTTAATACTTTAACACATATTACATATTAAATACTTTATTATTGAATAAATTTAATAATCTTGATAAAAATAAACTAAAATTATAATAGGTAAATATTACATATAAAAATATCATTAAAATTTTACATTAATAAAAAATTATAAAGGATGTATGTACATATTATAATGTATTTATTATTTCATTATTTATTTTTATTATACGTTATAATTTACCACCAGAAACTAAAAATAATCAACACGAATATTATTTAATTTTTCAATACCAATTTATTTCTAAATTATAACCAAAAAAGTTTATTTTCTACTATTTATTTTACGAAATTTGAGTTTTATAACCGAAGTGTTGAGTCTTATATCCAATTTTTTTTTAATGTATTTGGATTCGTCCGGACCGTTCTAGACGATTTTGAGTCTAATAATCCACTGAACTTTATATCCGTGAGTCTTATAAGCGGCGTCTATTGTATTATATACTATACATAATATACATACCACCTTCAAAATATTGTGACTGTTATTTAGTTATTCATATTTGTTTAGTTTATTAGATTCTGAGCGGAGCGAGGAAGCTTGTAGTTTTATAATGGTGTTTATTTATTTTTTATCTTGTATACAAAATGTCTACCAGAAGGAGTGCATTGATTTCAACATAATATAGTTTCTTAACTTTTAGTAAATTGGATCAAGCTGGTATACTTCAGAGAGGTCATTTTTCGATTTTCTCAATAATTGTTTAACGTCACGGGAAAAATTCCCGACAAATTACAAAAAAACCGCTTTGTTTATCACCATAGAAGCGAATGAAAAATTATAATATTAAAATATCAATTCAACTTATAAGCTATAATAAAAATATAAAATATCCAGTTTGACAAACCGTCTCCGCTCAGAATCGTTTTTCTTATGCAATGATATTATATCATTGAATTCAAGTTTAATACAATCCATTATACATTGACCCACTTGTAACCTACTGTACAGCAGAGTGACATCCATCGTTTTTTTTCAATTAATGTTGATTTATGCATTGCACATAAATGATTATTTCAATCGATTTAAATCTACCAATAAATCAATAAAATATCTGAACAATGTAAAAATAAATCTAACCTAACCGTTACAATTAATAATTATTTTACTGTGTACATCCATAACTATAACTATCCGAAATGTTTGTTCGTAGGTATCAGATACCGTGGTGGAACCGTACAACACCACATTATCCGTGCACCAGCTTGTGGAGAACACCGACAAAACGTTTTGCATCGACAACGAAGCGCTGTACGACATATGCTTCCGGACTCTAAAGCTCACCACACCCACGTACGGTGACTTGAACCACTTGGTGTCAGCGGCCATGTGCGGCGTAACGACGTGCTTCCGGTTCCCCGGACAGCTCAATTCCGATCTCCGAAAACTGGCCGTCAACATGGTGCCGTTCCCGCGTCTGCATTTCTTCATCACTGGGTTCGCACCGCTCACATCCCGTGGCAGCCAGCAGTACCGTGCACTGACCGTCCCTGAACTGGTGCAGCAAATGTTTGACGCTAAAAACATGATGGCTGCGTGCGACCCGCGCCACGGCCGGTACCTGACAGCCGCCAGCATATTCCGCGGCCGTATGTCCATGAAAGAGGTGGACGAGCAGATGCTCAACGTGCAGACAAAGAACTCCAGCTACTTCGTCGAGTGGATACCCAACAACACGAAAACCGCAGTGTGCGACATACCACCCAGGGGCCTGAAGATGTCGGCCACGTTCATCGGCAACACAACAGCCATACAGGAGATGTTCAAGCGCGTGTCCGAGCAGTTCACGTCCATGTTCCGGCGCAAGGCTTTCTTGCATTGGTACACCGGCGAGGGCATGGACGAGATGGAGTTCACCGAGGCAGAGTCCAACATGAACGACCTGGTGTCCGAATATCAACAGTACCAAGACGCGACCGTTGATGAGGAAGGCGAAGGAGATGACGACGATGAGGACGCAGATGCATAAGCCCGCTGCAGCAGCCACAGCTGTTACTCATATATTTCAATAACTACTTCATTGTAAGCGTTCAACTAAAAATTATGCTTTTGTAAGTTGAACGCATACAATGAAGTAGTAATTGAAATATATGCTTTTGTAATGTGACATATGCGTCCATTGCGAGTAATCGCAAATCAAAAAAAATTTGTCATCGATGTAGTGTGAATTGTAAACGAAATATATATAATATGTACTTATTACTTACCATGCATAAAACATATTCTGTTTAAACATCATACTATCATTATTAATTATTGTTTTTTCTGGTGATCAAAATATATATCACTAAAATTCTATTGATTTATATATGTATAAAAGTAGGTAGATAATATAATACCACTGTCACATGTCTATTGTAAACACTGAACCTTAGTCCTGAATATTATAATACAGTTCGATAGGTTATAGCTACTTCCTGGAATTTTCAATACCTAAATATACATATTTTACAGCTAGCTTTGCAGCTATGTGTCTTTATAGTATTATAACTTTTCAATGATTATAATATAGTAGTCTGGTAGGTGCAATATAGTAGAAAATAGGTATGTATAAGTATTTTCAGAGGCTTTTCTTGTGGCACTGATAAAGATATGACACATTTTTAGGGGGGCCAAACTTTTGTTCACCAGCTGGTGTATAGGTAATTCAAAGCAGAGGTTTTCATGCTTTTTTTTACACACCGATGCACCACTCATGCTTATTACGGATCAGTCACGGACTATGCACTTAATTATGATTAAAATACTGCTGTGTACATTAATAACTATACATTTTTATCAAATTGTTAATAAAAGCTTTTTAATTATTTAAGTCCATGAGAGGTGTGCATCAACAACTATATTATTACCTACGTAGGTATTTTTCATGTTTTGAGGTTATACGATACGTATACAAATAATTTACTCAAAATATAAAACTTTTTTGGATCCACTACACTTTAAAATACCTACCAGGCACCAGCCTAGGTAAAAAAAAACGAGTAAGTGGATGTTTCTCTGCTGTACAAAAGAACACAAGAGGGTCACACTTTATAATAATATAATGAATGGTAATAAATTTGAATTCAATGATATTGGTAATATTAACATTGTATACCTACGAAAAACGATTCTGAGCGGAGACTATTTGTCAGTGTGGATGTCTCACATTATATTTTTATAATTTATTACTTATTATTAAAACGGTAGCCGGTAAGTTGAATAAATATTATACAATTTCAACAAAATAACTATAATCGTTATTCTTGGTTATTTAATATGTAATTTCGTCTAAATTTGAAAAAAAAAACTGTGCACATGTTTTTATATTTTTGAAACTATTGAAGAACCTACTTACGTGGCACTTGTTTTACATTTTTAATCCTTAGCTATAAAATTTGAATATTTTATAAATTTTTAACTACAATACCATTTTTAAATATTAAATTTGTTAAATGTTGTCAAAAATCAAACTTTAAATGTTTATAAAAAAATTGTGCCTATGTATTTTTAATATTTTCAACTACTATTGTAACAATATATTAAGAGTCTTGTATTAATTGTTCACGCTTTTTGACGAACAAGTCAAAATATTTTGAAAATTTTATCGTGGTTGGAAAATTGTAGTATAAATGTTCAGTGAAAATGTCATAACACCAAACATCGAAAACCGATTTTCCCGTTTTTCCTTGATTTTTATTTTGTTTTTCCTTGCGCTTTTGAAAACTATTGGAAATTTTAAATTTAGTTTACCTCCCGAATGTACCAACTAGATTCACTTTCCCATCGAAGATCGAACAAGATACTGTTGAAGTAAATCGAAGCAGTACTTCAACGTTGTACAGCCCCAAACAGCTGTGATGACAGACAAAAAAAACAAACACATCATTGTAAAATCAATGTATTCATCACTTTGTTCGAAATCTAAAATACAAACTAATTAAGACATCTGAAATATGTAATTACTAGCTGCAGGTAGGTACCAATTATTTATATTATAGTTATAAATAAATAATAATGTACCTTCATTCTTTGTACAAAATATTTTTCTATTTTTTTTTTGTAATTGTAATTTTTTTTTCAAGTTTAATACTTAAAAGTAGAGTTTATTTTATTTTTCCAATTCAAGCACTGCACATAGCACATAAGATAGGTATTTCTTAATTCTCTTTAAGTTAAAGATAGGCTTTTAGTAGTTGGTTCAACACTGTTAGTCGGTAGAGTGTAATAGAATATTACAACAGCATATTATATAATATAATTATAATTATATATTTGGCTTGAATTTCTTATCACTTATTTCAAGTAGCCTGAATTGAAAAAAATATTATCTGTAATTAATTCAGATCATTTACTTTATCATAAGTATGACAAAGTAAATAATATGTTTTCATTGTATTGAATCAATACCATTGAATCTAAAAAAATAAAGTCAAGATAGGAATTTAGCCCTCCATTATTCGCTTCCTTGTACCTAGGCTAGATGAAATACTCCTGACAACATTACAGAGTTTTTTATTTACACATGTCAGTAATTTTAATTTTGACAGAGTTTGGAAATTCCATCACAGTCCTTTCAATTTATTTTCAGTTTAAACTAACGACTGTATTTCATTAAAAAAATAATATATTTTTTGTATTCTGTCCAGGATGAGAACGTGCCAATTCTGCGCATCCCCCTCGTATCTTTGCTATCGAAATTGGTTCCCTTATGGCATGGTGTTGTGTGGGGGAACCAGTTTTGGTCGATGTATGGTTCTCTTGCTGGACAGACCATAGTAATATTTTCTTGTATTGCTTATTTAAAACATATTTATTTAGATATTGCTAAGCAAATATTATAAAATGAATTACCAAAAGATCAGCTGTGTGCACATTGCACAGGTATACACAGGACAGAAAAACACCGAGTTCTAAATAAATATTTGAGTTTATATAATTATATACAATAAATTAACCTAACCGTAAGAATTTTAAGCTTTTAGCTTTTTGTGTATGGTATCAATTATTATCATTGATAATACATCAAAATTGATTAAAAATTGTAACTCTTGTTTATTTACCAATTGTAGTTCTTGTAAAAAGTAGTTTGAATGACAATATTTTACGTCATAAATTTAAAATAATATTTACCATAATATGTTAATAATGAAGGATGGAAATGTATTTAAATAACACGTATAGTATAAAGAAAGTCTATTTAGACATAAACATCAATTTTCAAAACATAAAAAATATTCAGGAATACACCTAATTATCCATACAATTTAGGAATTAATTATCCTTACTATCTTAATTTTATAAGTATATATATACACATATATACTTAGATATAATATAGTATTAACTTTTCTTTAATAAAATATTAAAAAATTGCATTATTACATTCATAAATCCACAAAATAAAACTTTACATAACCAAAATTAAATTGCAACATAGTAATAATAATAATAATCATATAATATAAATTAAAAAATTACATCCATAAAAATAACTAGTAAATTCTTGTGGTATAACAGTTTCTACATTAAAAAATTATTCACATTTAATGTGTAGTACATAAATAAATATATTTTAAACAATGTATATATAATAATATATCTGTATGTAATATATATAAATTTGTGTATAATATACATACTTCACGATAAATGTAATTTAGTTCATCAGAAATTATATACTTATAGAATAATAAAACAAGATGCTGAATTGATAACATATTTTTCAAAAATAAAATTTAAATGCTACTTAAATATGTGAGTTACCATTCTTAAAATTTCTTATTTTTCAAAACACAGAAAAAATATAAACTATTTATAAAGTTGTAAAATTTACTCTCGTTCATATTAAAAATAGTAAATATTATTAGGTTTAAAAATATATTTTTAGTTAATTAATTTTTTGCATTTAAAATTTAAATTCATGAGAATTGAGAAATGTTTGAGTCATGTTTTGTTACTAAAAAAAATATAAATAAATAAACAAAAATATTTATTCTTTACTTTAAATTAAAATTATATTTCAAAAAAGATAACACTGTTAATTCATTTAAATGAAAAACGTGCATTCTATATATCATCTTAAATTAAATTAATAAGAACTGTTACAAAAATAATGGAATAAAAAATTGCAACATTTTTTTCTCATTATCACATACGAGATAATTTCATATAACCTTCACATTTAGTATCAACTTTTACATTATTTACATATAAAACAAGTGTATAAATAAAATAACTATTTCAACACACACTTTCCCACATCAACAATGCATATCTCCCTGCGTTAAGAATACTTAATGAATAATAATAAATTAAAAATTAATAATAATAACCCAAATTGGTCAATGTACATTGTTGCTTAAAAATTTAAGAAATATAATTATACATTAGATAAATCTAAATTATTCTAAAGCTATTGTTGTGTAACATAACACAATAGACTTGAAATTATATATATAAAAAAAATATATTATATAATTATAATGGAGCCCCGATCGGCCCATTTATCATACGTCACTTCAGATAGTTATTAGTGTTAGGTATTACAAACACCTCCAAGCCATACCATCTTTCAAATGAATAATTAAAACTTAGAATTTGTAAAACAACAATATTTTTAAACTTGGAAAATTTTCTAGGAAATCATATATTTTTTGACATTTGTTGAGCCGAGTATTGTATTCATCTTGAATTTCAATCAAGAATTTAACATCGTGGTAAAATTAATAAAAATAAACAGTGGAAAGACAACTAAGAGTCGATCGTATTGTATTTTACATTCAATCACACTCATCCTCCTGTCCTTTCATCGTTGTTATCAGCTGTCAGTGGGCGTACTCAAAACCAGTAAACAGATTTTATTTTTTATTTAATTAACGCATAGCTTAAGTGTAGATATTGGTATAATATCTAAATTAATGAACATAACATATAGGTATGATAAATTATAACATTTAAATTATAAATTATAACACCACTTGTACCGAC